ATATAAACAGGGATCAGACAAAAAATGTAAATTATGTCTTTGAGAGGTTGTTCCAATAATAATTTTGCAAGCAAAAATCCAATCAACCCTAAAATCCATCAAGCCGCAACAACAAAAAATGTCAAAAAAAAAAAATGTTCTATTTGCCCTAAAGGACACGTTGTGCATCAGATCGAAGGGACATCGAGAAATCACAAACCAAGACAGAAGGGGAAAAAAAAAGCATTTTGGAAATCAACTGGAAGACCATGAAGTCCAAGGTACCGGTGATCAAATGCTTTGATTTTCGTTGAACCATAGCATGCCACCCAATTTTCATGGCGGAGGACTAGTTGTTTGACGACGGCGGCGACCTCCTGCTCCGGTAGATGAGGAAGTACAAGTCAAAGTCCAATGAAAATCGCGTGTGAGATGGAAATCTAAACAAAGAATTTGGATTTGGGTGCTGGGTCAAAGGGACTTGCTTTTGGTTGAACAGAAACCAAAATGATAAGACTATAAGAGAGACAGAGTAAACACAAATAGAATTGGTTTTGGTGTGTGTATGCTTCAATTCCTTTGTGTTTTTATGTCTATAATATAGAGGAGACTGTGGTTCTTCTCCATACATTCATTACGCACGGAAAACATTAAAAGAGGTGTCCAACAACCAACTGTTCATCATGATTCAATTCTTCTTTTTTTTTTTTAATATATATTTTCTTTTCCAGGCGCTATAACAAGAGTTGAGTACTAATTTAGCACCTATATGGAAATAATGAAATTGTAGTAATCGAAACATGAAAGCAATCCGTAATTATTCTCCTTGTTATTTGCTTCACTTCAATTTGCATCTCACGCTAGCATCTCCTAGTAATTAGTACAAATGTACTAAGATCGGTAGTAATCGGCACCATTAGCTCAAAAAACAAAGGATGAAGCTTTTAATGATTGCAAATGAGCAAGGATCCTGATCCACAAAGTTATAGAAATCTAGCTAACACATTTTATAAGATGAGAACCACAGAAATACATTGGAATCCGACAGTAAATAATTTCATCAATAATTTGTAAGTGTTTTGTGTAACTAATTCGATTCCTACATAATCCCTGTAACAAGATTTTACACAAATATTGACTGTGATTGGATTAGAGCTAGAAAAAAAAAAGAAGAAAGAAACGGATTAGACCACTTAGTCGCGCACCACCTCCTCTGCCATCTCTTTTGGAGTATCTTGGAGAGATAAAACCGAAACCCTAAGGTTTGAAAGGCTGAAAAATAAAGACAATAAGATTGAACGTTTTAAGCTTCTCTGCATTGCTTCGTATAATTCAACTGACCCTACTAAGTCTGTATTTATAGACTTAAGGACAGAATCTGATCATGAAGCTAAACTAACAATTCTATCGGCAATACATGAGAAGCTATTAACTATAGAGATAGAGCTGTTCTCAAACTACTTGACCTTAGCCACGTCTTGGGATAATAGAGAGTATGATCAACGTTATCACTCCAAAACTTCCTAATCACACCTCATATAAACTCAGACAGATTGATGCAGAATTTCATTATTGGGAGTGATCTTTAAAACTTGGGGTCGACGCTCGTGGCAACCTTGATTGATTTTAGGTGAGATCGCCGCCATAATGGAGTGTCCCATGTGAATTATTTGTCCTCGACTGTTGGAGTTTCTGTTAGTCTTGTACCATTGCTCCGAACCACTGTTTGGAAGTTTCCAGATGAAACTAAGAAAGGTTGAAGATGCACGCTGATTTGAATGGCAAGGAGCTTGACAGTGATTAGTAACATCATATTTTCAGTAGGAACTCTAGAAAGCTTATTTTTGGTGCCAGCGAGAGCATCAATTCCTACTGCAGGACGTCCCAGAAATCCTAGAAATGTCTTTCTTATTTCCCTGAAAATTTCCATTTGTTGACGACGAAATTAGACACCACGGAATACGTGTGTGGAGAGAAAAGCAAGAAAAAGAATTTGGATTCTGATATGCTTTTTGGCTAACTAACGGAGTTATGTTGGGGCTGAACATAAATTAACCGAAAGAAATCGACCAAAAACATAGGAAAACACTACCAAATTGGTTCGACGTGTGTAATGTGAATGTAATGTTTAAGGTTTTTTTTTTTTTAAAAAAATTGATCTATATATAATGGTGAATCGGTAAGGGCCTATACTAACATAATGGTGAATCGGTATCTCTTCTTTTGGCCATTTACTAACATTCATAACCTAGCAGAAGGCAGTACTATACGACTTATGAATGGCCCAACACCCAACTGTCCCTTATTGCATAATATATATATTTTAGCTACTTTTCACATGCTCAAATTTAAGGTTTGACAAACTCTTTCACTTTATCTTAAAAATTTGTCAGTGAGGTTTCCATTCTTCACGAGTTATTAACTTGTTAATTAATATTCCAAATTAAATTTTGAGGCAATTTATCTAGTATACCCGGGGTCACCATACTCCTCATCTTATTTTTTCCACTACTAGTCCTTATTACACTTTTTTCCACTTTTCTAAATAACATCCTATAATTTACAGGTTTAGTCATTTTGATTTTTTTTCTCTCTCCTTTAAAAAACATCTCTAATCTTTAAATGACCATATCTCATGATCCGTAAAAAATTAGAGAACGTGTTATACATGAAAATTATAGTACTCGTCGAGATCTATCCAACAAGATCCATGTCGAATATTTTTTTCGAGTTTAAAAATGACTAAATTTTGATGGGCAGAATAAGTTGGATATCTAGTTTAGAAAGATGGATAACTAGTTTAGTTTAGATTAAGATTCTTGTATTGCATATATCTCTTGATCCGTAAAGAATTAGAATATGAATTATACATGAAATTTATAGTGCTCGACGAAATCTATCCGATAAGATCCATGTTGGATATTTTTTTGAACTTTAAATGCGTTTAAATTTTACGGGCAGAAATGAAGAAATGTGTTTTTCGTTTTTCTTTGAAAAATGGTTAGCCGTTGTGTTCCTACTAATTATCCAACCGGTTTAGACTGATTATCCATTCTGTTTGTACTTGTTATCCAATCATATTTTTGACATTCACTCTTAAAAAAAAAGAAAGAAAGAAAAAAATGATTGGATAAGCATTGCAAACAATTTGGATAATTAATAGAAAATAATTGATAATCAGTGCAACACGTTAGATAATCAGTACAAAAAAGTTTGACAATCATTTTCATAAAAGAGCAAGGGAAAAAAATACTGGATAACCACCACTAAGAAGTTGGATAATCAATATGAACACATTGGATATCCAGTTTAAGAAGATGGATAACCAACTTATTTTGAATTAAGAAGTTGGATAATCAATATGAAGTGGATGGATATCCAGTACAAGCGAGTTAGATATCCAGCACAAACAAGTTGGATATGCATACAAACCCGTTGGATTACAACTACAAAACAATTTGGATAAACATATAAACCAAATGGATGGATATCCAGTACAAGCGAGTTGGATATCCATTTCAAACAAGTGGGATATCCTTTACAAACAAACAGTACAAACAAAATGGATAACTAGTTCAAATTAATTGGATAATCAGCATGAACATAATGGATAACCAATTTAGAACAAGTTGGTTATCCATCTTGTAAAACTGGATATCCACCTCTATTCTGTCCATCAGAATTAAGTCATTTTTAAGCCCGGAATAATATTCACTATGGATTTTGTTAGATAGATTTCGACGAGTACTATAAATTTTATATATAATTCGTTCACAAATTCTTCACGGATTGGGAGATATGCTCGTTGAAAAATTAGAGATGTTTTTTTTGGAAAAGAGAGAAAAAATGACAGGGACTAAACTTGCAAAATATAGAAAGATTGATAAAAAAATTCAATAAGGACTAGAAATGCAAAAAATAGGAAGGGGTACACGGTGCCCCCCGGGTATACTGGATACAGACTCATAAATCCAACATTTGATTGCTACAGAAGTACTAATATTGCTAAATTGTTGCAATGGCCAAATTTTATTTTTGTTTAATTTGCTAGCTGTATGAAAATAATCTAATAAACTGCTGGTAATTCTTCCCGTTTTCAATTGATGTATTTCATAAGCTTTGGACATTAATTCGGTTTAATATGTATCTTTATTAGAAGGGAGTATAAATCATTATTGGATGAGTCGGGTCAGTGAAGTTCTTCCCTCTCTCTCCCCTCTAAACCCTCACCTCTATTCCTCCTATGGCCAGCGGTCCGCCGCCGGCCATAGGCTCAACACCGCCTCAACGGCCTTCATTTGCACAGATTTTAGGCTCTACCTCAAATCCTAAAATAATACACAGAAACATCAAATTCTCAACCCACCTACTATCCATTCGGAGCCAACTTTATTCAAAAGAGAACCAACTTTTCTTCTTATAAAAGAAGAAGATGAACAATTGACAGCCCCATTCGTCTTGCTTTAGTAGGATAATTCACCAAAGATAGCCCAAAAATGGATTATCTATGGAGGGAATTCCAAATCATTGGCTTTAAAGAGAATTTTTCAATTGGGTCGATTGATTATCGACACATCCTCATATGCTTTGATCTAGAAAAGGATTTTCATCGCTGTTGGCTTAAAGGATTGTGGACCTTTGACAAACATTGGATGCGAGTCTTAAAATGGACCACTGACTTTAATCCTTCACATGAAAGTTCCATTGTTCCTATTTGGATCTCTTTAGATGGTCTCCCCATTCATCGCTTCAACAAGGACTATTTGTGGAAGCTTGCAAGCATCATAGAGACTCCCCTTCAAATTGATGTGCCAACTCTCAATATCGTTTGTGTAGAAATATACCTCCTCAAAGAACATCCCATTCAAATCCGGCAGGGAGTTGAAAGAAAGACTTACTTTCAATCAATCTACTACAAAAATATGCCAAAATATTGTGCTGATTGTAAAAGAATTGGCCATGATCATGATTCCTGTCGACACAATGTAAAAGCACCATTATCTAAAAAGCTAGACCGCAGCCTTCCATTCACCAATCAAAACAACAATTAATGATGAATCCTCTTCTTTCTACTGTTGTGCCGAGTCCATTGCTACAAGTTTCCGACCCTAATGGAGAACAACCAACGCCTGAAGATGCGTCTCCGATCTTGCAAGTACATGCCAACACCTCGCTTCCAGCGACAACCCTAGAGGGATCGACCTCCGGATTGAAAGCTACGGAGAAAGTTGGTATTCCAATAGATGTCCCAGACAGTCCCTTGATCTCAGAAAAGGAAATAGACGCTCCAGTAGATGTTCCAGTAGCCCAGGTTGTTATTGAGTCTCCGCAACGTGAGTCTCCGACTGACGCATCAATTCATGCCATCGCTGCTGGTGTTGCTGATCCTTCTGGTCAGCGAGCCGCTGCTGTTCTTCCAATTGGGGGGGATAATTCGGCTGCTGCTCTGATTGCGGGAGTCGAATCCTCAAGTGCTGCGCCAATTAACGCTAACAATGAATCTCCACCGCTGGCATTAACCGCTGCTGCTCTTTTTGCTCCAATGAACGCGGGAGAAAAATCATCTTCTGCTCCTTCTTCGCCATCAATTGCTGTCCAACCTGAATCCAATCATGAAGAAGCAACCTCATCGCCGGTGTTGGAAGGCCGGCGGGACTCACCGGTGATGAAGAGCTATCAAGGGAATCCACTAATTCTGCAATTGAGTAGCGCGTCAGTTGCGCTTGCGACTGTTACGCCTTCCGCAACTCTTGTGGCGTCAGCGGTCAAAAATCTTATCCCCCAATTCAGCTGCCACAATCCGATCAGAGTACCTCAACTTTAAATGAGTCAAATTCAAAGTCAAACTCTCCTTTACCACATCCTTCTCCCTTAAATTCTGAAAAAATAGCTTACCAAAATTACGTTGCCAATAACTCTACGCATAACTTAAACCCTGCTACGCCAGAATTTTCCCACTCCTCTCGGTCACAAATACCAATCCTCCAAGTACTACTCCCTTTTTCAGCTCCGAAGAATACCCAACATGTTTCCAAAGATGATACGGAAGTTGAAAAAAATGCAGAGGTTTCTAATTCAAGTTATTCGGTTGAACAAATCCATTCCGAAGGAGAACAAATTCATGCTTTTAATGAGTCCGAAGACGAAGAATTTGACATGGAGCGAGAATTGGAACGGGATTTTCTATTGTGAAGTTTCTGCTCCAACATTTCACAATTATTCGAAAAAAATAAAGGTTAAAAAGAAAGTTTAAGTTCGTCGGTCCACTAGATTGAATAAGAGCTAAACTTTATTTTAAGATCAAAATCGTGTTTAATATAGGATTTAGTATATACGCTGTCCTATTTTTCCTTTATTTTTTATTTTTATTTTTAATCAAAAAAATCATTATTGACCGGGTAAAAAAAAAAAACTTTAGTTATGTCATTGAGTAGTGAAAAGTCAGTGGCTACGTGAAGAAAGAAACATTTGGTAGGCATAAAGTCAGCAGTAAATTTTCAATATGAAGACAACGGCTCTTTTTATCTTTCAAAGTGTTTCTCAAGTTGACATAATTGTTTCCCCTTTATTTACTTGCACTCCTAATGAAATGATTTTAAAAAGTTAAAATAAAGTTGAAAATAAGGGAAGATGACATTAAACGTAATTAATATTGAACTGACTCCCTTCGTCTCAGTTTTTTTCTCTGGATTTGGCTTCTGTACCTTAAGACATTCATTGCCCTTTGCATAGCAGAAGCAAAAGACGTATACAAATGCAGCTTCAAATTAAAGGGTGTCCACCATCATTTAATTATTTCTGATGCTTTAAAGGCAATGCATTTTTTAAAAAATAAATTTTTTTTTCAGTTTCTTATTTTCCCAGAGAAGAGAACCTATTTGGAATTCAATCACTTGGATCCAAACTATTAAGGGTGTGATTTCGGACACTAATTAAATTAGTACGGACGGATAGCAGTTAATTTTGGGTGTCACATGTAACTTATATATAAAAAAGAAGAAATAGATAGGGGCTCGTATGTAATACAACAACGGTAAATTACAAATGAATATTTCACTTTTTTAATAATGTGACATACATATATTTAGTTTTTGGGGCAGGAACACAAATAAATGTACTTAAATTGCAATGCCTAAATACTTTTTTTTAATCAACATCTTAATACCTTAGAGGGTCGTATCATGAAGCTAGTATCGTGATCTCGTTAAGTAAGAAATAAAAAGAATATGTTTATTTCACATGGAATCTACATAATTCATGATATTTTGTACTTCTAAATATAATTTAAAGACTGTTTTATCAAAATAAGTTTGTGCTCTCGATATATATCAATTGCTAGCTAGTCTAAAAATAAGAATCATATAGAGTTTCATCTTATATCATTAATTTTTATTGTTGTTATTTTTTCGTTCTTAGTAAAGCAAACTTAGCTCATTTTAATTATTTATTTCAAAATCCGTATGTTGTATTCAAATTAACGCTCAACTTATAAAAAGAAGTATAAGTCTAGCTTGTTACTATTTCCATTATGACATGCTTCATCGTCAAACAATTTATATGATTAATAATAATATACGAAGCCTAATATATATTTTGTTAATCCACTGTATTGTTTTCAACAATTTTTTTCTTAAAAAAAAAAAATTCACAACAGTAACCCAGTTTCAGTTTCCTTATTCTTTTCTGTCTGTTTAAGTGAATATTCGAAATGATATAAGCTGGAGGGTTAAATTTTGTTTTCCATGAGGACATAATATAATGAATACAAGTGAAAAGAACATAAACCGAACTATGATTCGCCTTTTTTCGATCTATTTTAAATTATACATATATACTTCCGCTCACAAATTCCTATTTTAATAAAATCTTGATATTCATCTTCAGGATATATATCTTGATAAAAAGAGATCAGGCAAAAAGAACAACTCAACATGATCCACTATAGTTTTGAGAAACCAAAGGGACTTTGTGAACAAATAGTAGGCGCCTGCGCTAATTAGTCATCGGCGCAATTACTCAAAGTATACGCAGGTTTTAGCAAGGAACTTTAGAGAGCATTTGGCGCAGATACCAGATGCTGAAAGCAAGAAATGAAAAACACTAGTAAGAAATGTAAAAACCAAATGGATCCAAAAAAAAAAAAAAAAAAAAATTAGTTTACTTAATTATGGATGATTTTCTTAGAAAGGCTGTACCAGAAAATTTTTACAAGAAGACAGAAGCCTAGAAGACATTGGATATTTGTGAAGACAGAAGCCTACAAAAAGAATTTGGAGTTGGATGTTCATGAGCAGCAAATAAATTAAATAAATTTCTTTCGGTGTTTGTATGCTTCAATTTCTTCGTATTACCCAGACTATATAGAGGTAAATGTGGTTCTTCTATGTTCATTGATTTTCGTAGCAGAAGCAGTAAAAGAGATGTCCAACAACCAACTGTCCATGCATCCTGCTGTCAACGAACCGACCACTTTGCGAGCAATTCGCGAATAACTTGGTCAAAACTTGGTTTAAATTTGGCTTTGACTGAATTCGAGATGAATTTGACCAATTCGATTAGATAGACGAATCGAACACGAGTATTAATATACTTGATTTGAGAGCTCGTCGAACCTATTCGAACTTATTATAAATTATTTTGTTTTTATTATGAATAATATATAAGTCATGAAAATATTTCTTTTTTTCTTTCTTAAAAATTATTGTCCTTTATATTTTAAAGATGTAATAATACCCATTTTTTATGATTTGTCAAAGAATTTTGCTCATAGAATATATAGATTGAACTTGTTGGTATTAAAATTTATTCGAGCTTCGTATTATCGAGCATTCGAGCTTAAGTTTTATTAGACACAAAAACTCGAACCAATCGAGCCGAGCACGAGTTATTTGTTTTTATTTCGAGCCAAATTCAAATTTCAATTTAGATGTTTGACAGAGTTCGAACTCGAATACGAGCTCTAAATTTTTTGTCGAACTCGAGCTCGAGCACCTAACTGTTTGGGCTTGACTCGGTTCGTTGACAGCCCTAATCCTCATTCAATTTATTTTATTCTATTTTTAATTTTTATTATCTTTTTTTTTTGCAGGCGCTTTAATATACTTGTACTAATTTGGCAGCTAAATGGAAATGATGAAAGAGGATTCATGCAATTAATGCATGCAGTGTATAGGGTGTCCGTCTCGGCAGCCACATCTATCTTTTTGTATTGTTAACAGCAGTACGCTAGACTGGTGCTTTTGAATTTTTCAAACTAGTTCTCTAGGCTCAGAGTTGACATTTTTCTTGTTTTCCATTCATCTAATTTTCTAAATAAATTATTTCAAAGGCTGAGGATGGATCATTAGATATGACTCATTATTATCTCCAGATATGTCAAAGTCAAGAAACAAGAGGAGTCAGGCGTTTAATTTGCAGATAATGATGGCATTAAACAGTGATTTGTAGCATGATAAGAAAAGGCAGAATAAAATCATAATAATTAAAATCATAATAATGATGGCATTAAACAGTGATTTGTAGCATGAATTCTGCCTTCGAATTTTCTTAAAGGCTTAATCCAACTCATTAAGTCTGAGTCCCTGACCCTGACCCTGGAACAGTAAGAAAAAAGCACCTACATTATTACAACCGTATTCATTGGTTTTGCCTGTGTGGAAGTATATATGAATGGATGGCAATAACTAATAATTTAGTAATTGACAAGTTATCGTCACACTAGTCAAATATTAATTACTTACTTAATACAATTACTAGTAATAAAGTAGCAAGTAGGGTCCATCCCACAAAGAAGGTTATTAAGTACCGGTTAAAACTATTTCTTATTATTATTTAGATTAACAATTTATCACTTTGAACTAATCTAAACTTAAACTATTAATTGCAATTATTTAAAAATATAAATAAGTAAAAGAAAAATCTAGAGCAAAGGGTTCACCAACCGACTATTCAGTTTAATTTAATCTATAGATATGTGAATTTCGACTCTCATTAATCTCACGACAATTCACCAATTTAAGAATTATACACTCTCGTGTCATAACCCTCTTACTTAAACTAACCCTATGAATACTCTCGTGATTATAGGGATTAATAAAAGCACATTAAGAGCTTTGGAATTACTAGTCGCAAATGCGGTGTTCCTACTCTCGTAGCTCACTACCTAAGTTTATTATTCCTACAAATTAATACTAGCCTTCCACTTTCGATACTTCAGCTAGCACCTTAAAGCATGCAAATATTGATAAGGTATTCACATGGATGAAAAACAAGAATAATAAATATTAATTAATAAAAAAGTCACAATCATGAATTAAATTAAATTAAATAGTACGGCGGCTATATCCAAAACCCTAGATTAAATAATTTAGCTACACATCATCTCAAAAATAAATAAACCGATGAAACCCGGGGGAGAGAAGTCGCAAAATTGAGTCCGGTAATTGATCCAATGCTGCTCCGTTCCCCCTTCGATGATGGTGCGTAGGTGATGGGGTGATTTGTGCATGGAGGCGTGAGATGATTTGTGCGTGGAGGTGTGAGGGGGGCTGATTTTGATGATTAAGGTGATGATGATGAGTTGAGATGGTAATGATGCGTGGTGATGATGCTGCGGGCTGCTGTTGGAGATGGGGTGCTGGAGCGGCGGTGATGAAGAGTTGGAGGAGTTGGAGACAAGGTGATTGGATGGTCAAGTTCTCTGTCCTAAAAATAAAACTCTAATCCTCCTTTTATAGACTTTCGTTAAACCCTATTTTTTCAGGAATAAGAAAGTTATTTTTTTTCAAGCCAATTTAAATTAAAACTCCTCCAACTCTTCAAGTG